CTAACAAACCTGGTGACGTGACCTGGAAAATCGGCGAAAAATTTAATTTCAATACATAAACAAAACATTTTGGAGTTCCCTGGTTTCTAATTAACCTATTATTTATATTATTATTTGGTTTTGTTTTTATTTTATATTTATGATTTAATTTTATATTTTTGAAATATGAAAACACCACGAGCAGTACAAAACCATGATTTCATAATTTATCAGTAATTCATTTACAAATTATAAGTATTTACTTAATAACGCATATACAACATGACGTCTGTATGGACGTATGGACTTCGTAATTTCTCTTCAAGAAGAAATCGAAAAAACATTTCTTCTAAATTTGATAAACTGTGTAATCAAACATATGTCACACCTTCCCAGCCATATAAAAAATTATTAACGGCCAAACGAAAATATTTTAAAATCTCTGCGTTTATAAAGTAAACTAAAAATCTTTCAAACATACTTCGTACTTGATATCACAATGGTTATAATAAGTACGACATGTATTGTCTCTACACTATTTGGTACTAGTTGACTCGGCCTTGGGACATGTAATGCAACTACTAGAAGTTTGACAAAACATTATATTTCAACTACAACATTATTTAATCAGCAATATTGTATTCTTTATACAGAAAGTTATAAAAATAAACCTCGAATTGTCATCAAAAATGTTTTAATGCAAAGAAATGAGAAGTTTAGTACATCATGCGCTGTAATTGCTATTTATGGAGTTTTCAAACATTTATTAATGCGTAGTACGCATAGTAATTAATGTTATTGAAGTCATCTACAGTAGTTTTGGTTACGTCACGTATCATGAAGCAAATAATTATGTTAACCTGAATACCTCCCAGTACCTGTCATGGCTTCGGAGGTTTCTAGAAAAAGCAACAACATTCCATACGGATGTGTGTATTTTCTCTCCATGCCAATTAAGTACCGTGAAAAGCCAGAGATTCTCACAATTTTATTAATATAAAAAGCAATTGGATATTTATTAAATACTATGTTAATACGTTTTATTATATGGATCCGGAGGGGTGAAGTCAATGAATACAGGTTGTCAGGGTGACAATTAAATAAACAAAACTGAAAGGACGAATATTAAATGTATATTACTCGGGCAACTTTTCTTGAACGATGGATTGACGATTTTGGGTGAAGTGGAGGTATTACTAACAAAGTCGGCCACTAGAGTATTTTAAATAATGTCAACGTCTGTGAAATGAAAGTCAAAACTGCATGGTGTGCTTCACTTCTTCGGGGGTTTTAGGTGACTCCCTTGAAGGACCTGGACCTGACTCAGCTATTTCTTTCGATATTGACAATAAATCTGAACAGGGGTTCTGCACTATGAAAGCAACTGGCTTTGACTAGCGTCTGTTTCGCGCCAACGAAGATTTAACGCTTGGAAGATTGTTATCAGTGCCCGCTGCGAGCTTTTGCCTTCATCTGTTTATTGCACAAGGGAGGGGATGAAGGTCATCGTTCAAGAAAAGTTGCGCGAGTAATAATGACATATCGGAAGAGGGAAGCAAAGCTCTTTATAAAGAAAAGAAGGTATGTGTAGTATGCATAATAAGACTGGTGCTACAGAATGTCATAGACTTTCCCGTATTAGTTTTCTATTTCCTTTGCTCTAAGCTAGCTATAAGAACTTGCTACATACTCTTCCCAGCTGCAATCTATCGTCACCCAAAGTACTTTTCTTAGTTTTTCGGTTTCCTAATAATGGAACGGAAATGTTAGATTATGAATATAAACGAACAGTAAAACCTAGTAATAAATTGCAACTTCTTTGAACAATTTGCAGACTTTTTTTAGGAAAATGGTGCTTAAGCGCCACTGTAAGTTCGAAATTTGAAGATGTTTGCCAGAGAAAATATTGGAGTTTTCGAAAAAATTCTCTATAAGTTATTGTCAAGCACTTTAACTCACAATTACAATAGTTTTTACAAATTTCTGAAACGTGTATTACGGCAAAGGCGTTAGAAATCTTTCACAAAATATGCATTTTTTGAAATGTTTGAAAAATGCACAGAAATGAACTTTATGGTATATTAAAGAGTGCAATTGGCACTATCGCTTCGAAAAGCTCGAAGAAAAAAATTTAGCTATTTTTGAGAAAATGGCGTTTGAGTGTTTCTGAAAATACAGACTTTGAGTTACTTTTGACAGAAAACGGTTGAATTTTGGAGAAATTTTATCTGATATTATTTAAAGCAAATGTACTCAAATACAATAATATGAACACATTGACGATAGTATAAATATTAATGACGTGGGAGAAGTCAAAAAATTAAATTTTTGTAATTAAAAAAACAAAGAAAATGCAATATGGAGTTTGTCGTCTTATAGAGCACATTTAGCGCTATATGCACCAAACTTTAAAGAAAAATTGTAACTTTTGTTGGGAAAATCTTGTTTTTATTATTTTATAAAATAGCACGTATTGTTCGCAATATTGCGCGAAAATTACAAAATGTTTCAAAAACTTTACTTGACCTTAATGAAAGACCTTACTATGGAGAACAAATATTATTTGAAGGGCAAATCTCTAGTTTTAATTTTGTAGTTGAAGAAAGACGCCGGAAATATTTTGAAATTTTCAAAAATGGAGAGTTATGCTCGAAAATCCGAACCCACACCTTCAAAGTATCCGGGGAGCTTCTTTTAAAATACTTCCAAATTTTAAAGAATGATTTTCAAAATCTCAAAGCTTTGACTTTTGCCAGATGGACAGGGGTATCTTCAATTTATAAAAAATCCTTTGCATGCTAGGCGATAGTAGTGGACAGATGGATGGACAGAGGACAGACGGACAGGCGTTTTGAAGAAAACACGTTTTTGGTATCAGGGGACCCAAAAATTGAAATATCGAAATCAATTTTCCGCAGTAATATATAACTTTCCTTATGCTACGTATGTTACTCCATATACACGTACGTATACGAAAAAGTAAAAATGGTTTCAGTCTTTTCTTACACCTGACCTCAACATCGAAATGGGTCGTAACTATTTTCATTAGATGGGACGTGAGGTGGGTGATATTGCAATTGTTAGTCGACGTAACGTCGAACGTGGGAAGGGGGAGGGCTAGTACAAAATTATAATTATTTTTTCAGAATTGTAATAAAATGAATTTGAATAATGTTAATGCAATTTCATTCTCAATTGAATGAAAAAACAGACTTGAATATGCCAACACTATTAGAATAGAGAAGAAGAATATCTTTGGTTTCCTTGAACAATTATTTGAATATCAGGAGCCCCCGCGAGTTGAAGTACAGGGAAGTTTCATGTACGCGTGTGAACGTTATTAATTATTCGACGAATATATTGTCGGGAATGTATTGCCAAAATTGCGATTCACATTTTTATGTAAGTATGTGACTTCGATTAACATCATCTTAAGAAGGGCGGAAGTATATTCTAGATCAACGCGATAGAAGACGTGGTGACATTCTTCGTCCAAAATTCAGCCGAGATATCTTCGAATACGCTCGAAGATATTAAGGAAGCCATTAACATTTTAGTTGATTTGTGCAGGAAGGATAATTATCGAAACAATAGTTACGTAATGAGCTCAATAAATTTTTTTGAATTATCAATTAATTTTACTTATTATTTAAAAACAAGGTGGATAATTTGTAGTCATCAAACAAAAAAAACATTTAAACAAATAGAACATTCAGAAATCGCTGATCTTTTTCAGACATCCTGCCTGTATGTGAGAAGTTAAGCAGTAATACGTGGTATGTCGATACCCACAAGAATATATTAAAATAAATGTTAGTAAAATCGTTAATAATGTCGTAAGCAACATAATTACTTGAATATAAATACTAACATAGATCGCAAATGATTCAATTATATGAAAAGATTAAATAAATGAATATGTTTCAGAATTAAAATTTAATTTCAATATCTGTTCATTGTGGGCAGATCTTATCGTCAATTTATTAAAATTTTCATGTACAATATATTAGAATCATTATAAGTGGCACTCCCAAAGTGGGGCACATACACCTATTAATATTGAAGGAAAATTATAAGATTCATTACTTTACGGAAGATGTTTTTACTTTTGCACTCAACTCTAACGTACACGCATGTATGAATTCTTAGAAAATTTGACAGATGACAATAATTAAAATCGCATCACTCTGTCATAAGAATATCTAATACACATTTTTCGAGACCGAAAGACATTGAAAGGAATCTTTAGCCCCTTTCCGAACGATCATCAAGTATCATGGGTTCAGCACTCAATTCAAAGTCGATTAGAGAGAGGTGAAGATAACTTTGAACATAGCTGTCACGTTTGATAACCATGTAATAAATTTCTGTAACTCAAAGTTTATCTGTTTCAAAGCTTAAGTATTTTTTTAATAGAATCGTGGATTCCATGCATAAGTCCTTCATTGAAACTCCAACCTACAGAACATTGGTGACTAAGCCTGCCCACAAACACGTTGGAATCATGTATTAGTATTTGTCAATATAAATAACGGTTGTGCAAACAGAGCAACGAGGTATATGTTCACAAGGTCTATTAGTTCTTCGAAACAAGGACGTGGGCTACTCTTTGATCGTAATGAGCATCATAAGAACAGAAAATATTTCAAAAACATATGGACTGAATATACTTCAAAAACTGAAAACTTTTAGCAAAAACTTGCGAAAAAGGATTGCAAATTTAAATGTGGTATGCAATATGATGCTAAAATAATTTATAATTAGTTGTTACAGAGCAATGGTAAAAATAATACCCTTCAATAAAATTGCAATATGTTATGCTGTTTGTAGTTAATATTAAAGTACAAATCATTCTCGTTACTCCTTATGCAGGCGTTATTAATATTAGCTTGCAATCTATTTGAATCACTTTCATTCTCAATTGACTTATGAAATTTCAAATCAGCAAAAAGGAAACATTGTACAAATATTAAACATAAATTCTTGTATAGCTTAAAATCATTGTGCGTTTGTTCTCTTACTCTCTGCGTATTATTGTTTGGCAGTTATCTGTCTGTAAAAAAAAAAGTTTTTAATTTTTTTTTCAATATGAAAGAAGATATGATTTTTTCACACATAGGTTCTTCGGATTCATTTGGACCCGTTGCATTCCTCAAGTTGAACTACTGTTAGGCATTTGATACAACTCAGAGAATTTGCACTAATCAGCTACGGAAGAATCGTACTGTCATTGGAGGGTTTTGTTTACTGATAAGGTGTACAATGGCATTGTTTCGTCGAGCTGCTATCAAAGTTCTAAGAACAGCTACTTCATTCGGTGGCAAAGTCGCGTCTCTCTGTGCTATGGCAAGACAGGTATTTTGAATATTTGAACGAAGTATTCAGATGTGTTCTTCCTATATTGTATAATCCTGGATTCAATATACTAATCGATGAATAATTAGTCGTTTTTCGAGGCAATTGTCCGTTTCGGCACGGCCTGTTCGCCACGGAGGGCAATGTTGGATTCTTTGTGATAAAGTAATACTTAACATGTGTAATGTTTAACCGTACACTGGCAATCAAGAATGGCAACCTGAAGAACAAAATCTGGGTACGAAAGTTGTGTTAGAAACATCTTTAGATCTCAAGGGTCACATAACTTGTGACAATTCTTTTTCCATCATATCCGTTTGAGTAAAAGCTTCTGAAGCGATACATCACTCTCGTTGGAACAACAAAACTATACTGTTGGAAGACAACTTTTCTACTTTCGCTTTTGAGAAAGACCTGACATTAGTGTCGCATTGGCCAAGAAAGAATAAAAGCGTTGTTCTTCAAAGCACACATTACAATAATGCAAGAGGCTGCGAGTTGGAAGAAAAGATTCTACAAATAATACACACGTATAATTTACTAAAGGCGCTGTTGATACATTATGATTCTCAGTTCTTATTCTTAAAAAACAACAAATGTGGTGGTCCAAAGTTTTATCGAACAAACTAAACATATCTTTCATCAATTAAATCATCTTGCATCAATGTTTTGTTCTCAAAAGTAAATCCAGATTTTAAGAAAATGTTATTACAAAACACATTTTGGAGTAAACATAGGGGATCTTTTGTAAAGCTGTTAGCGAACGTAAATCACGCCTGCCACGAACTTCAAGTCAACTCTTATTGAAAACAAGAGATCCGATGAATAATTCAACCCATCAAATTCAGTTTCTACTCGAAAAACGGTAAAAACACTTTTAGTATGACAAAACAGACAAAAAAGTGCTTTGCACTGCTCCAAATAAATACATTTACATGCAAAAATCACGTTAATGACATTTATACTACAGGTATATAATACAAGTTTTCTATTTTTGCTTTATATTCATTAATTTACTACCATGCCTTTTGTACTGATGACTACTGTTTTACTTAATTGCACAATCTTAAAATTACAATCGGAAATTATAATTATACACATTTATTTTATTTTTAATTTCCTATTATGTATACTACATTTAAACGTGGAAAAAGTACATAATGTGGAAAAGGAATCATATGGATTCATTTGGACCCGAGGACCTCAAGAAAGAGTAAATTTGAAGACTGCAGCCGTGTTAAGAAATCAAAGACGCCAAACATATATATCGTAAATAAGAGATACTTATCATTGAGATTCGGCGACTTGTAGGACTTTCAATTTTCCCACTCACGTGCTTTGAAAACGAAAAATATTTGTCACATTATATTTATAATTTCTTCTCGTTTACTAAGAATGATGCATTTCCACATGGAATAGTGAATCTATTACAACATGAGACGAACACTTGTATATGTGACTACATTGAGTTTTGACATTTCTTGAAGGTAATCTGCTATGTTTGAATATGCGAATATCGATACTATTGTAAATAAAAGTACAAGACATGTGTGAATCGAAATAAGATCGTGTTTTCAAAAACTGAAAATTTACACTGTATCTCAGTGCTTTTAACGCACTTTTACTTGCGCCCATTAAATTAATTGAGCGTGATTTACCAGTTTACTAAGCGTCCACATCCAATCTCGTAGGGGAATTGATTCAATCGACTAAACGACCAATGCACTTGTGAGCTGATTGGATAAAGTTTCTAGGAGAGAAATGGGTTCAGCATAAATCGTGGTTCTTAATAAAGTAAGCTTAACCACTCTACGAACAAAACTCTTATTTGATAATTTATTATCCTATTTTCTGCCCAAAAAAATTAACACTAACTAATGCATAGTTGCGTGAATTCTAAAGTGCCACATTTATCATTTATAAATTACTGCGACGCAAAGCATAAATATAGCTTGCTTCTCTCACTGTTTCTACACGCAGTTTATACGAATATTGTAGTGTTAGCGAGATAATAATTCGCTAACTACAATTTAATCTAAAGTGTCACTTTACTGATTCGAATTTAACCATCTCATCGTGATTTATAGTGGTACTGTCACATACATTGAATTACATCGTCGAGCAACGTTTCAATTACAGACTGCAAATGTTATTATCAACCCTCCAACAGGTCAGGAGACTAAATGTACTGCTCTGAAAATCCGGCTAATCTTAAAACCCTTAATAGGGCTTTCCTACTAAAAAAAATATATGGTGAAAGCGCAAGAGGAGAGACGGTACTTACAACGAATGCTGTAACTCAGAAAAACAGCTTCCCATTAGGTAGCTTTCCACTCTCTCTCTCTTAAAGACCTTATGGATACTTCCCTAAAGCAAAAATGGCTCTGACAAATTGTTTTAATTAGAGTTTACCAAGGATTTTTATCAGAGGGAGGGGGAGCTACAATAATAGTTTCTTGGACTTGATATGTCGTCACAAAGAAGTTTTCATTTATAATGTATATAAACTCGTAAGTGAACTATATTTTTGTTAACTTGATTTCATATGATTCTCACTAGCTTCTCAAGTTTTTATTTATAATGAGTATAAACTCTTTTAAGTGAACTTTATTTCTGCCAACGTGATTTCACTAATCTCTCTTCATTAAGCATGCCATTTTACCATTTATTTAAGAATCTGTAGTGTTTTTAAAAACTGAAGGATGGGAAACATTAAGGATGGGAACGTTTTCATACAATACTGATATTTACAATAAACATCACACATTGTAGGATTTATATTCATCAAGTGTCATTAAAGTGTTTTGGTGTACCAGATATGACCCACTAGAATTGGTGAAGTAGCTCAGTCGGGTAATTCCCTCAACAGTAGATTATAGGCTAATTTCGGGAATCAGGGACGTGGGCTCTCTGCATTCATATATCTCAAATTATATCTTTTTTTCTAAACGAGTATACTATAGCCTCCAAAAATCCAAGTAATCACTTTGCAAACAAATTACAATGCACAGAAAAAATTTCCCTGAAACTAATTCTCCTACAAGTAACACACAGATCAAGCATGGACACTAAATTAACAGTTTTTACATTAAAGAAAATTTAACTCCTTGAATACAATTGTTCAAAAGACAATAATCCAAGTTCTTTCTAAACCTGAAGATTTTTTAGGATAACCTATAGCATTTGGGTTTGCAATGACATTGAAATAAAGACATATAAATGCTATGATAATTGACTTGCTTAATTAGGTCACCTATCATCACTCTAATTTGATTCTTTAATACACTGAGAAATCACTAGTTCACACAGAGTTAAGTGTACACAAGTATGTTAATATCCTTTCCTCTTTCAAAATACAGTTAAACAATAGTGAATCAAACGATTTGTTTTGCTCTAGCTTTCAGTTATTTAATATAGCTCATCTTTAAAAAAAAGTCATTCTTACTTTTGTTACTTAATTTCAACGCGTTAAGTAACGCCATGTCTTGTTAATCCTCTTGTTACGTTAAGACCCCTCAAACAAAATTGAATTCACATTCACACGTCTTTACTTGCGAAAAAAGCAGAGCATTAGGTGAAGCCTGAAGTGTTCGATCTACAGCGGAGCACACAGCCTTCCTCGCGACTGCCCTTGGGCTCCAGCACGCCTTTACCTCGGCCACATCAGTCCTTGCACGGTGAAATACGCAGATACCGTACGTAGCTCATGACCACGAGTGCACTTGCACATTAAAATTGTACTTTAGACTATCCAACAATTATGAAAAGCTGAACGAAAATAAAACACACAAGCATAAGTTCCAATTCTTCTATACCTGCACGTGCCCTTCCTTCCAACGTATTTTACATGCTGCACGAGTTCTCTTAAATAAAATGTTTTGGAATTAGTTCAATTCCATTATGAATAAATCCGATTACCTCTTCCATGTCATTTGCGAAGAGTTATAGAATACAAGATAACTTAGATTATATGGCACTGTCTTTTAATACACCGTTACGCCACACCTCGACTTCACAGGTCGTTTGTAGCCACCGACATAAAGGTTTTCACGAGTTTCATCTGCAGTCTACGGTAGCAAACTCTCCTTGTAAGTTTCCACTGGTAACGTTGGCGCGATTTTTAATATTTTCCGATGCGCGCTCGTCCCAGATGAGCAATGTGTCTCGTTTTCTTATTTAGCAAAACGGGTGGTCACTGAATAAATAGTTCATTACAAGAAGTACACATATAATGCATTTTGTTATTTTACAACCCGTTGCCAGATGACATTGAACAACTAAAATCATGCATAACTTCTGCATAACTGGTTCTAAAGAATTAGAGACTTTACTGACAATCGTAGAGAAAAATAATTTGTATTTAAACGAACATATTTAATGAAATAGTTAACGTTTGTACTTTATCAATTTATAAAGACCAAATACGTCCGCAAGAAGTAATGCACTTCAGCTTCTGGGACAATGACCACTACCTTGATCAGTTTTTTCGTATCATTTCCCTGATCCATTGAGAAAATGCTGAGATGCCCCTTTCTTTAGCTTCTGGGCATAACTGTAGTTTTGTTTTGCGTAGGATTTTTTTGAGCTACTTCGTGATAAAAGTAGAGCCATGGCTGTGGGTTGCTATTTCCTTGGCGCACTATAAAATCAAATCTGAAGTTAAGTTTACTAATGCAAACACATTTTCCATAACTCGGGAGCGGAAAAGTCTAGTTTTCAAATATTCGTAACCTCGCTTTGTTTGTAATTTTATTCCTCATTCAACTATGAACAGTAAAAATGAGGGCAGAGAAGACTCTGGGGCTAAAGAAACCAAGTGCAGATTATTAATTTCATCCATAAGTCACATAATTGTTGGACGAAAACAATTAAGAAAATAAAACAAATTTCAAAATTAGGAACAAATATATATTCAATAAATTCTTGTACACGGTGAGACTGGTGGAAACGAATGAATTGATAATTTTGGCAAAAGAAACACACATAATATTCACACAAATATGAAAATTAAATGACTAGAGTATGCAATGAATCTCGTTGCAATAACGTTACGAGTACGGACACGAAGTCTTGTGCAATCAATACAATATCCTTGCGCAATTGCATTATGTTCTAATACAGGCATGTCACGATCACAACCACGATGACAAGCTCACTATACTTAGACTCTTAACGTGAGGCCTCAAGGTCACACAGGAAAAAGTGAGAGATAAGGCAGACTGCAAAAGAGAGCCGTGAAAGTGGGCGCTGTAGTGACGTTGAACGTTAAAAAATAAAAGTATACAGCTTGTAAACACTGTGTCGAGAGAAATAAGTGCGAAATTTAAAAGAAAAGGTTTCTACAAATTGTTTCGGAGCAGCGGTACGTTGTTGAATATCTGGCCCAAGACAGTCTGAGAGGTTACTTGACCAAGTTATTGTTGCAAATTTAGGCATAAATCCCATTTTCTGTTTAAAGTATAGAAATGTTCCATTAAAATGAAACATTACATCATTCACATTTCAAATTTCTGAATTGAGGGTAAAGTTAAGCATTTTGAATCGAAAGAATTTTGATTTTGTAATCATGTTTACTTAAGAATGATGTAACAGCATAGTATTCCCTTTCTATGTTCAGGTTAGGAAGTTCAACAAAGATTCTTCTGTGTTAAAATCTCTGTGCATCCTTACGCGAGAATTGTTAACTTACAGAGTCGTTAATTAATTTTACATCATTATTATTAAATGGAATAAAATAACAGAATAATTTAATAACTCAACACAAAACGACAAAAAGGAAAAAAAGTTCCGTCCGTTGGTAAGAATGTTTGTATAAAAGATAATTCAAAAATAAAGTAAACATGAAATAGTGATAATACACATAATTAAAACCTCGATTTTTTTGATAGATCATATTTACGTGTAAAAACATTATTCCCCTCCGTGTGCCGCTTCAGAATGCGCGTGTACACCCTCTTCTGGATTTGGAGCGGAAATGAGATCTGAGTCAGGATATGTTGCCCGTGATCGTATGAGTGCCAAGCTATCCAGGCGGACAAGTAACTCGTGAGGTGGGTGACGTGGCTGCCTAAGAACCTCTGATAAATGACGAAAAGAGATTGCTACGACCGGCGACCTCACGGCACGCTCTCACAGCACATTATAATAGAGAGTGAAACGAAAAATAATTCCATGGACTCTCGCAACAAGTATGTTTCCTAAAAGTATATAAAGATAAAAATTGGCATAGTACAAGTACATTGTAATGTCGGTTTTTCCCGCCGGGACTGGTATAGCTCTATTCGTCTATTTACAAGATATCATCTAACCTAATATACAGTTACTATACCACAGTTGGCGCTTATATACGAATTTTTGAGCCGACATCGAGACTATAGTCTTAGTGGTTATCGTAATCATTCGTATAATCAGGACGGAGCATAGATTACCAAGTTTTTTTACAATAAAGTATCTCTCTCATGTAAACGACATACCTAACACTCCCTCAATTAACTTAGTTTAGCCAGCAACGTGTAGCTCATGTCAACATGAAAAGTCCAAACATATCTTTTCATCATCATTTATATAGTTTCATCGACACCGCCTGGCTGAAGTACGCATGATTTTTTAAGTAATTTATTTTGTAGTTATTTACAAGTATGTTCTATTTCACTAATGAAATTAAAATTTTGTGTTACAAATTATGGAAATGCTTGTTTGCATAATCGTATCTCTACAGTGATGTTAAAAATGTGTTTTTGTTGGTAAATCTTCTACATTTTATCCCTTTTGCTAATTGTCCCATATGATTCAATTATTTATCTAGTTTACTAAATGAATCCAATAAACTTTCATTAAAACTAGGATGAAATACTAAAACAAAATAAATATTTGCACACAAAAGATTAAAATTTATTTATCGTTTTATGTTGTTGACACTGTATTTAGATTTTTATGAATCCTAATCAAATACATTTCTGGAATATATTCAGATCTTGCGATATTTTCCTAGATAGAATACATCAATTGTTTAAAGGTTTTTACGATATTTTTTCTACCTTTTTAAATCCGTGCTAGTAATGAGTTTTGTTTTTGCATCATGCATTTGTAGCAGAGGTTGACAATCTTAACACGTTGCATGGAAGTGTATGGACGTTGAATTGCACTAATGAGTTTTAACGAGGACTTTGCATGCAATACTGTCCCATTGTTTTGATGTGTACACACGATTCAAAAGTGAAATATTTCTTCATATCTAAATGGGGACAAAAGTGAGGTATTAATGTGCATGCACGGTAATATTTCAAAATCGTGTAACTCCAATTGGTAGTCTAGCAAATTTTTAGTACATGAAACTTGTATTTTGATTTCTGACATTAATGAGTTATGTACTTGTGACGATAAAAGACAGAGGTATAATCAATATAAATTAGGATATACTCACACGCAGACAGCGTATATCTAACACAGTACATACTAGCATTATACAGAAGGTAGGTCTGACTGTATCAATCTGAATGAACAACGAAGAACGTATTTTTATACTAAGTTCATTCGGTTAATGCTGGTATTAGTCACTAGACGCTGGCTAAAGTAAATTTGTTGTCTGACTGTGAGGTGCCTTGTGAGTTTGGCAGGACTACTTTGCCTAAATAAGCGTTGCTCAGACTAAAGTTAGTTTTTCGTAAATCGCAAATCTTTAAGAAAGATTTATCAAAAAGGAGAAGCTTTAAATTTTATCTTTGACTCTTGCGTAAAGCGCGCAAATTTTCACTATCTGGCTTCTCAGATCATCACCTTCTCCATCTGAACTAACATTTCATGGACACTCACTCATGTTCTCGCCATCATATTCTTAATTATCTCATCGCCATTATTATCATCATCATCATCTCCTCCATGCTCATTAGCATCACCATCAGAATCATCAAGTACAGGAGGGAAAAGGTAAACCACCATCGGACTTTAGTATCGAATTCAGAGTTTTGTAGTTTTCTGTAAATGCTTAAAAAGTTGAAGAAAGCTCTTTTGGCTGGGTTTGGAAATCAAGTGCTTAGTTTTGTAAAGCAACACACTTTACCTTGTGGTGTTTAACTCCGACAATTCTTAATGTTGTTATAATTTTTGCACGTACGATTGTCACGCAATAACTCAAAGTTACAGTAAAAGTACTAATATTTCGACAATATAAAGAAAGAAGCAGACACCTAAAACAGGCACTCTCTTCCTCGCTTATAAACCTACGTATATGAATCAAAATATTGATTTTTTCTAAATTTTGAACGAATATTTGAAATTTAAAAAATCCGTTTTGATTTTGACTTCAAAGACTTAAAAATGAGATGGAATAGTTAATCTTTCATACAAACAATCAATAGAGGAGAAATGGTGTGCCCAAAATTATTTTCAATGAGAAAATCAAAAAACAATAAATATTGAGTAAGTTTAGTTCCTGAAGAAACTTCAGTACATATTCATGAGAAAATCAAAATAAAAAAGTACTATTGACTTCAGTTCGACAGAAAGTTATTAAAACTCTATTTTTTGTACGTCGTCGAATTTTGTGGCCCCAATGTCTTATTAGCCTTACTCCTTTTGTGTGCTTCACTTATTAATATAAAATTAATGAATTGCCATGAACAAAACTACGAACTCAAATTATATTTAATTGTTCTTGTTCTTTTGACAACGTGATACGGCACAGCGCTCCCAAGATACTTGAGTCGCAGGAGTCTGGGGTGAAATTATTATGAACTTTCGGCTTACCCTCCAGCAGACCTTGTGGCATTTCGACATCGCTTTTGTTTCCCTGCTGGTGTGTCTTCTGCTCCTGAACTGTTTCTGTCCCTGCTGGACATTTTTCCATTGTGATTCTTCGTTTGCGTATCTTTTCTTCCTCTATTGCACTTATTATTATTCCTCTATTGAAGTTATTATTCAATCTCCGG